CGATTGGAAACATTTTCAAGTGTCCAAAACATCTATAAAGTGCTCACATATGCCATGTATTTTAACATTGTGTGGTAATAGAATGGTATGAATTCGTGTTTTTTAAAGTTTTCTAAAAACTATGATTTTCTTAGGGGGGTGGGTCACCTTGGCAGAGATATTTCTAAAAGTACTCGTCGCAGCTAAAACCCACTTTGCATGACTGTTTCTAGATAATATGTTTGCAACGTACTAAAAGATTATTGTGATATTGTGATAAGTCTTCCGTCAGTGTTAAAGAGATTGGCAGTATAACTCTGATTTGTGATCATTTTTTTGTCCAAGTATTGTATATGACACTAAAAGGGCAGTTACAAGAAAAGTATGAGACTTACGAAAGTAAATCTTTAGTACGTTGCAAGTTGTATATACACAAACTCTGTGTGACAATATCAAGGCTGTATCAATTCAATCTTTTTCAGAATCCCTGCCAACAATTTGCGCAAATTTTGGTCTATCGAACCCTTTGCATCTTAAAAATTCAAAAATTTGACAGTGAAATCATATAGGGATAGTGTGTTTCTGTCTATTGACCCATACTGGTTATTGGGAATCCCAGTACACTTAATTTAGAGCCCAAACAAAAATTTTCATTTCAGCTGTACCTAGTTCTGAAAATTCGGACTGGTTTATTACTTATGATTTTGTGCAAAGGAAATATATAGAAATATTGATAGGAAGGTAAGTACGTGATTAAGGTTGCAAAATATGTTACATGATAATCAATTAAGTTACGCCATCCCGTTGCTTTCACCCTGTCTGTCAAAGGCAACCTGGGAGGTTTGATCCTAGCCGAAATCATACGATTTGATTAAATATTTCGTACTAGGCAAAGAACTTAACTTCCTATCGAGTCTGTGCATTCTCGCTATTCGACCGATGGTTGGACAGCTACAGACAGACGAACGATTCGGAGGCACTTTAAAAAATATATTTAAAATACATACCGGGTGATCCCAAAAAATTGCAATTTTTTGCTGAACATCTCGCACAAATATTGTTCTAAAAAGCTGTAATTTGGAACAGACATAATTCATTCAAAAAGAATTTGTTTAATATAAAATCCACGAACAAGAAACTTGTTTTGAAAACGGAAGTGGCTTAAAGAAAAAAGTAACCAAAAACGAAAAGTTCACCAACTTTTTAAAATCTTGTAAAGCAAGTCGTGAAAAGATTGGTTGATGTTTTTCCTTTATTTTCTCTTTGACATTTGTTTTTCATTCCTGTGACGTTTAAATAATATTATCGTATTTAATTTCTTTTACAGAGATCTTTTTTTTTTCAAACTAACGATTTCATTCTGAACTTCCTAGAAAAAGTGCTCTACATGCCCTCCTTTGAACTCGACATATTTTTAACGCGTCGTTAGAAATGTTCAGTGGCGCCCAAACACAAGGACCTGCTAAACCACAAATGTTTAAAGCCACGTACACTGTACATATTCAGTAGGAAGTGGCTTCTAGAGACAATAGGGAGTGGGATGCCCAACAGACGGCAATTCTTGGCGTTAACAAATGTCCTCGAGGAAATGATCAGACTTTTCAAGACAATCGAGAAATCATTAACACATTGCATGCTCTGATCCATGTCATATCCGCTTAGCAAAGATGAAAATGGTACAGTCGTAGGTTAATATCTACCATGAGAATGCAGACTGTTGAGGTGTAGAAAAGTCCAAGCTGCAGATTGTCAAGAGACAAACGTCTAAAGGGACTTGACTACTGAATTCTGGGCCCTGGTGACGTCTGTGTATTGTGTGTGTTCGACCTGAAGTTGTGATTTTTTAGAATTTTTTAGTTCTGATTCGCAATTGATCCAAACTAACGGAACTTCTCTACTCGTGACGCCAAAGGTCTGGAGAGCACTTAAGCATTTTTCTTTCCATGCTGTGCGCAGAACGTACGAAATGTCAGGGATGGTGAGTTTGTGAAGAGATAATTTGCAATACAAAAAGATCTCTGCTCTTTACTTAATTTAACCATGACCTCATCAGACAAACGAAATTTGGAAAAAATAACATCTGCAAACTTGTGTTGACCTGTTAGACTGTTGTAGCTTTCAAAATGGCGCGATCGTTGCAGCTTTTAGCGGTAAGTCTAATGCGAACTGGTGCGTCGTGCTACACCAATGGGGACAAGGTTGAAAATGGGTTGTTTTTTATTGAGCCGTAAAAACCAAAACCATTTTACGGACTTATCTAAAATTAATATCAGGGAAATTCCTTTTGACTTCCAAATGTTATGCTCAAATCTGAACCGCAAAACTTCAATACGGAGGAAGATATTTACAAAACAAGCTGTATAGTTGTTGTTTTTCACAATGTAGTTTACGAAGCAGACGACCATCTGATGCTGGCCCACTGTGACGTGACTGCGCCAGGTCCGGTCGGAGTAAGTTTAAATACTCTCTCCTTCACAACTTTGTTATTGAAGAGACCACACTCAGGTGCACTTATTATCCGTCTGCGATGAACTGAGTCAGAGTCAGAGCTTTATGAAAACTATAACCGGGCCAAAAAATGGTTTAATAATGAAGGGTGTCATTGCAAAACGCATCATACCACAAATCTGAGTATTTCTGGAAGGCACCGCCCACTCCATAATCTCATGATTGTCGTGAAAATGCGTTCATTTTTTTTCTTTTTATCAAATGTACTGCATCTCTCAATAATTATAATAAGTACGATAAAATTGTGTTTCATACCTAATTTTTTCAAGAAAATATATTATGTTATCCCCCCCCCCCCCCTCCGCTTTTTCTCAGTTTTTGTAGTCAACGGATATCTTGCGTTTTGCCATGGAACCCTTCAAATATGAAAAATTTCGGTCGCACGGTGATGTTATAGCCATGGACATGAAGATATGAATTATTCACAAACAATACTCCCTAAGTGCTTCTGTTTATGTAAACTGTGGATCATTTGGGACTCGCCTTGTTTCTCCTGGTTTAGATAGCGTCATCGATCTGCTAGGCTTAGGCGATTCTGGCACTTGATGGTGTTGACAGACACTGGACGTCCTCTTCTGGTATTTCCTGCTGGTGTTGATGAATCTTTTACGTGGTTTGCTTGAGGGGAGAGCGTTGCTAGTTGGTCCTACTTCTTTACTCTTCCTGCGGGTTTTTTTGTTTTTGTTCGTTTCGGGTTTTTCTAAAAGCCATTTGTGAGGCATCGTGGTGAAATCAGGCGCCTGTTAAAATAATGTAAATGAAGAAACTGGCATTTTTTCCTCCGGTGTAGCAGTTTGTATTGAGTTTTTATTTTTTAGCTCAACACCATGTATGTTCATTTTTAAATACATTTCTGTATGGATTTTACTTGAAAAAAACAACTTTGATTAAAGGTACAAAAAATGTAAATTTTCAGTTTCCAAGGACTCTAAAGCTATGGATGTACCATACTTTGGTTGCCATAATCTTGATAATTGTCTCTTAAACCAGGCGACCTCCACATCAATCGCAAAATAATTATCTTTCCTTCTATTCAAAGCATATGTGTATTTTTTTAAAATTGAAAGCAAAACTAATGAGCAAACCAGTAACCAGTAACTCCTGGTGCCCAAAAATTAACGAGCGCCTGATTCTACCGTGACGTGACATATTTTTTTTTACTGTTTCCGAACAACACGGTAGCTTCTCTTTACATCCGTTATTCTAAATCTGTTCTGCTGTTCGCAAATATTGGCCGCGGGAAAGCAAATCCCGTCTGGGTCATATTTATTCATACTAAAATCACTAGCTTAATTGTTATCTTTCCGTTTGAAGTGTAAGCAACACCGTGAGATAGAGAGAGCCTTATCTTGCTATAACTGCTTTACCCCTGTGTTTGCACAACTTCTGTCGGTCGTGACAAAGAGCTTAACACGTTCGTTTGCTTTATTATGTTTTCTTTCTTTGCTGGTTCTTCTTCTTCTTCTTCTTCTTCTTCTTCTTCTTCTTCTTCTTCTTCTTCTT